CGGTTTTTTTTCCCACAGGGTTTTTCCAGATAAGGTTTTTAACGAGGCAGCATAAATGCACATTTAATAGTGGTAATTCCAAGGGGGAGTGTTATACACAAGTGGAATAACCACTATTAATTAATATCTTATCTTGAAGTGTGTGCCAAAAATTTGCCTATAAAAAGGCAAAGAAGTATTGTAGTGTATGTACTGAAAAACGAACGAAAAAGTAAAGAGAGAAAAGCAGCTTATAATTTGTCCCGGTTTTTACATTGTGTTCTTTATATTCCCCGCATTTTATAACAAATTTGGATTTTTTTCATTATTTTTTGTACATTAGCATCTAAATTGTTAATTTAGTTAAAAAAATCAAACACAATATCTTGAGTAAATGTTTTATCATAAAATTCAATACTTTCTTTAATTAGGAAAATTTCATCATAAAATTCACCGATAATACTATGTAATTACTCATGTTTTTTTAGCATTAATACATATTATTTTTGAAAATCCATACTACACAATCGTGTAAACTTTTGTTAACTTTGTCATACCTTCTTACAGTTTGCAAAGCATCTAATTTACAATCACTATTTAAATCATTGTGTCAGGTAAAGTATCGAAAAATTTTGACTACACAATTGTTTGAAAATTAGTTAACTTTTCAGAAAATACACGCAATTGGTTGTCGAAATTTATCTAACTACAATATATATTTCTATTATTTTTGTTACATTAACAATCGTAAATGCTTAACTGATTTAAAATAAATCAAACGAAATATTTTGAGTTAATATCTTCTATCATAAAACTCAATAATTTAATTACATAACTTCTACCACAAAATTTACCGATAATACTATCTAATTACTAATTTCATTTTTACGCTTAACATATTTAATAATGCTTTTAAATCATGCATATATATTTGTATATATGTATATATATATATATATGATTTTTTAATTATTATGATATGGGAAAAATTCTAAAAATGTATAAAATACATATATGGCACAATATATATTTTGAAATTGTTTAAACATTTTTAAAGTAATTAGATAACTAAATAATTTAATGTATATTAAATATTTATCATTATATAGATATATTATATATAAAGAATACTACTTTTATAAGTATTATAAATAATAATAATAATAATAATAATAATAATAATAATAATAATAATAATAATAATAATAATAATAATAATAATAATAATAATGACATGATATGATAATAATTATTTTTAATTAATAGTTGAGTATTATGATGAACAAAAATAACTAAAATTATTATTTTTCTATATCAAACAATAAATATAGATGCTAAAAAATATTATTTATTAATATAAACGGTTAACAACCTAATATATTATTAAAATAAAATTTTAAAATAATATTTTAAGAAACAAGCACGGATACTCACTAGTTATATATAAAGGGGATGTGAGTATATATATAAAATATTTTATATTTTATATTTTAGTTAGTGCATGGGGCAGTGTTTTGTGACCCGGACCGGCCCGACGGGTCGACCCGGAGCCAGGACCAATCCGGGTGGGGTATTTGGACCGACCAACAACGGACCCGGTCAAAACCCGGCCGACCCGGCCTTGACCCGGTCGATCCGGGGCATTGACTCGACTGAGTCAACCCGGTTGACCCGGTCCCTATATTATTTTTTTTTTTCTTTTTAAAAAATAAAACTATGTTATATTTATATGGTAAATATAAACATATTATTACCACTTTAATTTATAAATTTTACATACAAAACATTTAATTTTGTTATTTTTATGTATATTTATATATCACAAAATACTCTATATATAATTTTATAAAATTTAAAATTTATTATCCGGTTCAACAATTGACCCGGTGACCCGACGGTTGAACCGGTGACCCGGAGACTTGCCCGGGTCGATTACCGAGCCGGGTTTAAAAACTATGGCATGGGGTAATAAATAAATAAAGAGATAAATAAAACATTTCACGGTGATACTGATTAAGCAACTAAATAGTTTTTGCTACTTCCAATATTTTTCTGTTTCACCAAAATTGACCTAAATCAATACACATAATCTTGGTTTCACAGAGATTTTTCTGCTGTGGCAAGGTCCCTCAGTATCTCAGTTTTTACCTCCTCAGGAAGGGTTGCAGATGGACCTGCTTTCGAGTAAAACCCAGCAAGAGATCTTATAGCTTTTTCGAGCATAGCATACGATTCCTGCAAGTAAAAATTTTCACAAGATATCAAAAACGTAAAAACAATGATCTCGATTTTCAGTTGTGAAGCTAAAATGTATTTCACCATCGTACTAACAGTAACATTCGCATTACTAGCTATAGCTAATGTAGTCCGGAATTGCATATTCTTATTGCTACAGCGAAAGGAAGATGCTAACTTCAAAGAAAGAGATATCATTACATAAGCTAGTGAGCTGAGAGAAGAATGAACTCTTGTAAACACAAAGAATGCACAGTGAACAAAGATGAAAATTGAAAGAAAATTACTTCATTCACGACCGTCTTCTGGCCCCTCCACCCATTCAGATATTCCCGGATTGATTCTTTTGCGGCATCAGCTGTCCGTCTAAACTTAGCCATATCCACCGTACTTTCTCTAAGCGACTCACGAAGAGTTTTCACAACTTCCCTCGCGGATTTCAAGTAAGACTTGGGCAGAACCTTACCCGATTTTGTTTTCTCGTTTGGCTCGAACAATGACTTCAAGGCCCCCACAACACTGGTCTCATCTTTGCCCTCCAAGCCATTCAGATCTTCCTCGGCCAATGCAGGTAATAACAGTAACTCACGGTTAGAGTTTAATAAGAATGTAAGTGTTGACGCAGCAGAACATCCTAAAAGAAGCCGCCGTTTTTCTGCAAATTTTTTCTCAAAGGAAAGCACCGAGAGACACCTGAATTGTGGCCTCTCCCGAATGTATCCTGAAAAAGACAGTCAACAAATATGGAAGATAGTGTCATAAACAAATTAGTAGACGGTTACATAAAAACCCCATTATTTTTCAAAGTTCATAATACAGTACAACTTCAGATGATTAATCAGCAATCTTAACCAACAATCTAAGAAAAAAAAAAAAAAATCAAATAAAAATAAAAGAACAATGAAATACAAGATAAGAATAAGCGAGTTAAAAGGGCGCCCGAGTAGGATTTCATATCATCCAAGAATTGCAGTTTAAACCTAAACACACGCTCTGGAAAATTGTTTGTAATTCTCAATCAATACAGTAATAACAATTACAGAGCCACCATGGATTTGAAGTTTTCTAGAGAGAGAAAGAGAGAGGGTTTTAAGAGAACTCACGATTGCTTGTTTGTGCCGAGTTTGATACAGAAAGGGACTTTGTGGGTACAGCAAGAGTTATCATAATTTTGCCTTTTTATCGATTCTAACAAAATACATACTGTCAGTCAGTCCAGAACAGATGATTCAAGTGTCGTAAAACAATAAAATATATAACAAATGAAATCCAAAATGTTTCGACTCTTAAAGTTTCAGCAGAAATGCAGTAAGCAACCTACGCCATAAACTTTCAAGTTATTCCAAGATATCGCCAGAGAAGAAGATAATAGGATTTTTGTTTTTGTTTTATGTTTTTTTTTTTTTCCTTGTTTTGAGTGACCCGTGGTCCGTCGAAACAAAATTTATGGAAAAAAATTCACAAACCGGTTAAAGACCGGTTTTGACCGGACTAGTTCTTGACAATATGTGTTTCGATTATTTTTTTCATTACTAGTAGGAGGCTTGTGCGATGCACGGTGAAAAACATTACGATTGTTTTGTAATATAAATATAGAAATAACAATAATCAAGATTTACCCATTGGGCTATTGTTGTTTGAATGTGCATTACGTCCTCTCATACCATTTGACTCTATTGTACAACTGCTATCAAAACTTTTATAAAATGGTTATTATTGTTTCGTACGGTCAAATTATAAGCATTTTTGTATCTATATTGTACCATACATTGAAAATGTTAACTACGGCCAAGCACTGTTTTAAACGAACTACAAAATTAAGTTGCCAAAAAACAATGTATCAAATATTTGATTATGCAGAATATTGTATTGCTACACATGGAAAATAGTATTATAAATAGGAAATACATAGAATGTGATTAAATATAATACAACCAAACAATTTAAATTTCAATTTAAGCACATGAATGTAATCAATGATCGTCTTCTCATTCATTAAACATAGATATCGCCAAGGCATCCCTCTAATTTGTCCATCTTTATTGGGATCTATAACATCTGCACACTCACTGGGATCTGGATCACCATGATTGAGTTCATTCACGTAAGAATCTCCATCAAATTCCATCATGTTAACACTCATGGATGAAAGGATGTAATTTTGGACCAGTCAACATGCAAGTATAATTTTATTCTGCGTGTCTATATTGAAAAATGTCTTGCTCCTAAGGACACTCCACCTCATCTTGAAAATGCTAAATGATCGCTCTATCACATTACGTGTCCTGGCATATCTTAAGTTGAAAAATTCTCGATAATTTTCTAGGGGCCCCATTACCATCACCAAATTCATCCAAATGATATCTCAAGCCTCTATAAGGAGAAAGAAATCCAGTCCCATTTGCGTAATCGTCGTCACAGAGGTAATAATTTTTTGTGTTGTAACAAATAAACCACGAATAATAAATAAATTTCTTGTATTTAGAAATATTTTATAACCTACAATGGCTATTTAATATTACTAAAATGGTTTTGTAGATATTTACCACCATGTACACACAACCCCCCATTTATGTAAATCACATCCCGTAGGACACGACTGTCTGTCGCGGACCCTTCCCAACCATTTAGTACACGTAAATCATTTCACGAATGCATACACTAAGGAACTTACGAAAACAAAACCTTTTCGACAATTGATAATGAAGGGTGTAGGTGAGGAGGGACAATCACAGGTATATAAGTGTCATCCATTGCACCTAAGCGTTCCTGTACATAATTTAAATTTAAATATCACTAGGCATTTAATTAATTGACAGATAGAACAAAATTAAAAAGGTATAGATTCTTATTTGGTCATCTTGAACCATTTCCATTTCCAGTCAGTACACGAGTCATCCACATAGCTTGGTTGTACAATTAGAATCGGGTGGGG